AGAAACTCGAACCCGGTCACTGACCAGGTCTTATAAACTAATAATATAGAAGCCTAAGAGTTAATAACATTGAGGCCAAAGAATTAGCAAAAAATTAGGAACTCGAACCCGGTCACCGACCGGGTCTTATAAACTAGTTTTGTTCAGCTAGACCTGGACTCGAGATATCCAGCTTAGCCTGGCTAATTCGAAATCTATAATAATAATTAAGACTTAAAACCCGTAGCGCAAAAGGCCTTTAAATTTAGAAGAGAAAAATGAATAAACATAAAAATACAAGATCAATTTAAAATTTTGTGAGATGTCCAAAAAATTTTATAAAGCAGACTATTAGCCAGTCGCTTAGCTGATGTTTCAATTTGTTGGCTCAGACTAAAGCCAGGTCATTTACAACACAAGCGATGTCTTACATGTTAAGATCATTTTTTAATCTGAGCGTTTTTTACAACTGTAGAAGAAATAAAAAATCTTAAAAAGGATTTAGCTTCGATGGTATGTTAGTCATTTGACTAATTTGGCTATTACTCATAAAAAATTTTACATATATAAAAAAAACCTCCGGGCGGCCGGGTCTAAAAATTTTTCAAATGTTATGAAAACCATTAAATTTTATTTGTATCGCTTTATATCGCCTTATAAACATTAATGCAAAATTTTTTTTTTTTTATAAATTATAATAATATAATATAAAATTGATACAAAATATGAGGAAAATTGCACAATGTCTAATGCATAATATATAATACAATACAACACAAAATACTCATTTTTAACTGCCTTTAAACAATTCAAGTGTCTAGTTATTTAATTGCAATTGTTATACGGAGGATGGACCCTGTACAGTACGTAGGTTGCATAAATAATAAGTTAAAAGAAAGAATTTATTTCTTAACTTTTTCTCAATAGATAATACTTGTCAACACCACCTGGCACCTATTCAATTCTAGTTTCGTCAAAATTTCCCCTATTATTATTGTATCTATTTGCATTAAAAAGATATGATTTAAAAATTTCAAATGATTTTCTTTAACTACTTGATGATAGGGAAATTTTAATTTATGTTTCGAGCACATTTTGCTATTTGGGATCAGTATTTCGGCCCAACTCGAAATTTTTGGTCAGGCGAAATTTTCGATAGCCGAAGCTTGGAAAATTGGTCTTAAATGTTTTGGACCCTGGGAAGTTTAGGCTAAACACTTATTGAAATACACATAAGTCACTATTTACTTTTAATTGTAGCCATTAATAGATAACAATTTGAAAAAATTATGAAGTAAATTGTTTAATAGAATTTAATTTAATAGTTTAATTAAGATATATCTACGGAGTGACTTTACTAAAGATTATGGTTAGTGTAGTTTAATTAATTTTTGAAAATGGCAATTACACCCGGCCCTCTATTGCTCGCAAATACAATACATATTCTATAAGAAATAAACAATATGGATTTAGATTACTTTTGGAGTTTATTTTTAACACATTTTGAAATTTGCATAAATTGTATCTCAAAAAAGTAGGATAATTCTACTCATCGCTAGTATAGATAGATAAAAAGTATATTTTGCCAAAATTTTTGTTTTTGTTATTCAACACGTTACAAATAATTTAGTTACTGTTGAAAAAAAAAACGCTTTATTACAATTATGTTAAAAAACCATAAACAAATAATTATACAGAAACTAAAGATTAATATAAATACCTTATTACAGTATATCTAATAGCAAATATTCCTTTTATAGATGTTAGGTCTCTGGAAATATGCATCAATTTCAGATAAAAAAGAAGATCTTCTAGAATCTTTATCTTTTAAATCATAATCGGAGCTAGCAAAACGTAAACTTGTTTGTGCTGAAAAAAGGATAGTTGCTGTAACCCATTGATATGCATCGCTATTTGAAAAGAAATATGCAATTGTAGCAAGGTGTAATATCCGTATAGTATAAGCCAATGCAAAGGTGCGAAGCTTCTTTTCTTCACTTTGATTTTTTGTAGTATCATTTACTTCGTCTGACACTGTAACAGTATTTTTTTCTTGCAACTCTGTAGAATTTTCTTTATCCAATATTTCATCCTGCGATCCTCTAGGATTTTTTTTAAAATAATTTTCAAAAAGTCTCATAGAATAAAGATTTCCAGCTAATTGAATGATAACAATAATAAGTAAAATAAAAAAAGGGAATGATGCAGGGCCATATGTTGAAATAACAACGGATAACAGGAAGATGTTGAATATAAAATTGATAATAATTTATAATTATCATAAATGGAAATATTATCTGATAATATAAGTGATTCATCGTTTTTATCACCTTTATAAAAATCATAGATTGAAATTGAAAAAGAACAAATCGAAACAAAAATTACTAAAATAGTATAATCTTTTAGTATTGAAAAGAAAAGATGGGAATATGTTTGAAGAGGATATATAAAAGAAGGAAATATTAGTAAAAAAGGTGGTAAAATCATTTGTATAAAATCATTATAGATTCTGCTCATAATACCGCCTTTATTAATTGTATTGAAAAATTGGAATATAATTGGGGCAATTCGAAAAAATAAAAATTGCAAATCTACAACAATATCTTCCCGTTCATACTTAATATTACTTTGGAATGGATTCGGAAAAGTAATATTTTCATATTTACTAGTAATATTTATCTCATCAGCATTTACAAATGAAAGCTGCGTTAAAAAAAATAAAAGAAAAACTAATTCAAATGCTTTTCTAGATCCTTTAATTATAAAACCAATCATTTTTATCATTTAGTTTATGATTGATTTTGTAAAGTAAAAAAAAAAAATCCTTTTATAAAATTACAAGACTTATAAAAAAAGTAAATTAATAGAGAACAAGACAGTTTATGTCGCAAACAAACATTGAATCAAAGTTTTTTATTTAGAAAGAAGGACAAAGCTTAATGAATAATAGCCTAATTCCTTATTTATGTCTAATATCAAATCGCAAGCTGTGTTGGGAATTGAACTCAAGACACACATAACAATACAACAAGACACATTTTCGAGTACAAGTTTTATTAAACTCTAAATCAAGAAAATATTTGTGATACTGCAGTAACTGTTTGAACTTTAATGTTTATTTTATACAGTCTCGTTAATCAATTATTTATCAAACATTTTAACTCTAGCATATTTGTCTGCAAAAAGGTTTAAGAATGTCTACATTAGTTATAATGACTAAAAAATAAAATTATAAAATAGCCGTGTTGTCTAATTAGACCATTAATTAATTATCAATCATGGAAAATGGAATTACTTCAAAAAAATTTCCGATGTGACAAAAATGTCTATTATTTATGATAAACTAGCACAAAGTAGATAAATATCTTTAAAAGGATTCTTTTTTCCTTTTTTAATTTACAAATGCTTCTTTCTACGACAAATACATTATATGAAAATTTGCTCCTCACTGTACGTGTAACGTAACATATACCCCTTATACTATTTTTAATACGTCGTATGTACGTACGTACGTACATATCCAGTTAATATCTGATCATTGTCTTAAAATGTTTGGGCATGTGACAACTAGCTTATTGGTTCGGTTCTTGCTCGCTACCGCCACATTTCCTTTTTGATTAAACCGGAAAAGATTTCGTCAAAGATTTTTATAATTGTATTGCTGCTCACGCCGAATGCTCATGCATACGCCCTAAAAAATTTTATCGAATTCGAGTATTTATAAGAATTTTTAAGCTCGTCGACTTTTGATTTCAAAGTTATATTTGTGCAATGCTATGTAAACTTTTATTTTGAAATTATGTATGTACGTACTGTACGTACAGTACTAAAAATACATGATTAGTTAACGCAAAAATCGATGCACTTAAATTCGTGTACCTTGACTTGCCTAAATTTGTTTCCTTTTGTTCTATTTGCGGTAATTAGTTAATTATATTATCTTATTTAAGTGAAAAATTGCATAAAAAGAAAGGTAACCAATTTTTATCGCGTTGTATATTGTCTCTTGCTTATGTTTAATGTTTTGGCACCAGTTAGAAAAACTAACGAGTAAACTTATCCATATAACGTTATAAACAATATCAAAATATTATGAAATACTTTTTTTTTTTGTTTTCTGTTTTTTTTTTGTCTTTGGACTTTTTGCCGTGTTGATTAATTGATAATTATTAATTTTAGCAACACTATAGCATAATTCTGGCTGATCTTTGGACACATGATTTGAGAAATCCATCTATTTACCGATTCCGGCATTCCAAAGTTCTGGCCATAATTATGGAATAGTGTTGGCCAAATTTATATGCAAATTTACTATGCCTTACCGCACCCTGATTTTTGAGAACATCCTGATACCTCCCTGCTACTTTCAAGAGCCTGGCTTAGTGGTCAGTTTGTTAGAGAATTGGAGGTGTATTATGTATTATTATGGCTGATCCATTAATTGCCAAAAAGTGTGCCATCTTGCAAGCCAACTATTCCCTATTAGTTACCAGTATAAGTATGATGATTTCACATCTCAAAGTTCAAAATATTAAAGTGCATTCATATTAATAGCCCATAATCGAATTATATGCGTGCCAAATTTCAGGCAGATTGGGCTAATAGGTTAGAAGGTATTCGCATCCAAGTTGTCCTAATAAAAATAAAATTATAAAAAAGAAAATCGGAGCTTTTTCTATGGTATATGTATGCCAATTTTGGGTAAGGCCAGCTCTCTATTGTATCAGATATTTTTATTTTACTAGATCACTTCCTAAGACAGAATTTGTTATACAAGAAAGTGTTCTGTTTTTTGTTTCGTCTTGTTCCTATGAATTTTTGATAGGAATGCTCATAGGAACACATTTGAATATGTTCCTATCTATTCTTATAAAAAATAAAAACTTCTAGGAAAAAATCAATTTTTTCTATGCTATCTATATCTAATATAATGTGATAAATGTATGGTATATCTGTATACTATAAAAAAGTAAAAAAAAGTATAAAACTTCGATTTTCGTAGGAACGGATAGGGACATAGGAACACCCTCTTAGAAATAATTCAAATTACTTTTTACGGCCAAGACGCTATACAGAAGTGTTCTTATAGTGTTTCCAAGAATTTTGTTAGGAAGATCCAACTAAGGTTGTTAGTAATCAATAGTTATTGTACCATTCAGTGGTAACTGAGCTTCTGCTATTTTGTTTAGCTTTTTTCGGTGATACTGCTCTCTGGCTCAATATTTTTTTTGCATGTGTATCACAAAACCCAGATTCAGAAATAGTCGACTTATCACATTTTTTGCAGGGGACTTGTTCAGGAGAATTCCGATGGAGTTTGCATCCTTTTGGGTGAAAGCATCCCCGATTACACACCTCTCCAGTCCTAAGGATATATGGGCAATTATAAAATGCCATTTGTGTATATTGATTAATAATCTCGGGAATTATTTTCATTTTAAACTTTTTTCCTTGTGAGTATTATACCTTTAGATTTGGTATAGCTAGAAAATATCTTTTTAAAAAATGACCCAATCAGACCTCTCAGAGTTCCCCAACGCGCCCGCCCTTTTTTACCCAGAGGCTGAAAAAGATAAAATGGAAGGGTCCCTCTGGGACCAGGCCAGGTAATTCGCTATTCAGGTGAAAAATACTTGTCGGGATCAAATGTCAGTTGTTATTTGAGTGACGATTAGTTTACGAATTCGTCGTCACACTTAGGTACCCATAACCTATAAAAAATCATGACGACGAATTTGTTCACGTCGTCACACTTGGATATGTCGTGCCTGAAGTTGACACTTGCCTGAAGTTGTAACTTCAGGCGCCTGAAGTTACACTTGCCTAAAATTACCTAAAATTACTAATTAATGCATGCAAGATGATCTAATTTCAGGAGTTAATTTCAGTCAAGTGCAACTTCAGGCAAATGTCAACTTCAGGCACGACAGATACATTATTTATTACACAATTTTAATGAACTACATATAAATGAATGGGTTTCATGTAAATAAAGATGCCCTTTTCTATAAAAACTTACATTTAATCATCCACCTTTCCCGAAAATGTGTTTCATTAAGTATTTGGTGTATACGATAACTATCTTGTTGGCTTTTGCTTGTCCGGCCTTTCGTAAGTAATTTTATTAACAAGCTTTATAATGATGTAATTAATTGGTTATAATCTTTTAGAACTTGCAAAAGAGATTTTATTTAATAAGTCTAATGGAATTCTCAAATTACAATCTATCGACGATGCGTAAGTAAATTAATGTTTTTTATCTTTGAAAATCGGTTATTCATATTTGATATCATTAAAATTTATGATTTCATCCAGATACTTGGCATTAGCATTTACCCCTATATGTGCTATTGTGTTCTTTATGATTTTTATGATATGCGGCTGTGATAGAATGGCTGTTGAATCTATTACGTATGCTCTATCTTTTAACTTCACATTATTTAAACATTATTATATTACTAAGCTTTTAACTATCAAATTATATAGAGGCGCGTTTGGCTGTACCTATGTGCTTTCTTGGCTAATAGTTCCAAGTAAGGACCATTTATAGACTACAATCATAGAACGTTCTATGTTATATATTTCATCTTTTAATCTTATTGATATTTCAATAAAAGGCATGTACACAGCATACACAGTTAATGAAATGGGGAACATTCCATTTACTTGCCCAGATTCCTATAACTACACTCTTCCCTTACTTCGCACTACTTGTCAGATTCGGGCAACAAACTTGATATTTATGTGGTTATATCCCACATTTCTTGTTTTTTCTGCTATTTTTTTAATGAATGAATGAAGAATTTTAATTAAAAAAAACCGTACAGAATTTATTATTGAAAATTAATTTTCTTGTTCGAATTAGTTATTTCTAATAATTCTTATTTATTATAAATAAGAAATACTTACAGGTATATAAATTTTGCCTACATTGAAAATTTACATAGAATTCTTATAAAATTTAAACATAAGCATGATACGTACGTATATAGACAGATAAATTCTATATAGAAGTGCAAAAATATATTAAGCATGATAATATGCATACGAGTGACGCCAAGGGAAAAGAGAACATTCGTTTTTATTGATTATTTATCTGATGATCGACAACACATCGGGCTTTAATTACCTCTGTCTTAGTGAAAATTGTGATCATCAGATAAATAATCAAAAACGAGTGTTCCCTTTTTCCTTGGCGTCAATCATATGTGAAACGATATACAGACAAATAAATTAATTAGAAATTGTCTAGATAGTTAATGCAAGTCAGATATTATATTAATGCCGGCCAGATGGTTTGGTAATGCCGGTCGAATAATTTTATTTGGGATCATAATAAAAATCCCGCGCGTGCCCATCTCTAATGATAATGATGATAAAAATGAGAGTTTTAATCTTTTTTAAATACACTCTGCTATATTAACGCATACTGGAGATGTTGCCTTTGGAAGTCAGACTCAGGAGTAAACATTGAAGAATTTTTAGAATTTCCTTGTCATTTAAAAATCTTCATTAAAGAGACACTGGTTTTTTTTTAATTTTTATACATTGAAATTTTGTCACAAGTTGTTTGCCTTTTCGTTTCTCTCTTGATTACTTCTCTATATCTTTTACAAGTTACTTAAGTAAAATAGTAGAATTCTAAGGAAAAAATAAAACTCTTTCCTATGGTATACCTTTGATATCATATATCCATTACATATACCCGATACATACACATATATTCAGTACATATATGATATACTCGATACCTACGATACATATACATATATACCTACCTTTGATACATATACATATAATTTACAAGAGTTATTTTATACTTTTTTCATGAGCTTTCGTTAGCAAAAATACCAAATTAATGTATTTATCAACTTTATAATAATATATTTTTACCTTTATGGTGTATACTAAAAATTTTCTAACAAATAAACGTTAAAATTAAAAACTTAAATAACAATAATCCTATCAGTGACACACTGTATTATTGCCTCGATAAATTGAATAATAATGATATGGTAAAATACGTAAATAAACAAGTTAATATTTTTTGTACTTGCAAATTCCGATGACACTTAATAAACTATATCGATAAAAGTTACTAAGATGTGATTAACAGAAAAGAAACCTGTGAATCAATCATCACTTTCATTCTTATCGGATTCGACCTTTAAAATATTTAATTTAATTTAATTACTCATTTTCTTTTAGCAAATTTTATAACTAAACAATGCTTGCTATTGAGCACTAGGATGTTTAGCTGTATATTTGCTTGACACGTTTAATAGTTAGAGAAGCAGTTTTATGAGATCAAGTATGATAAAGTGAATGAACATTGGTCAATTATTTTCCCTTTCCATCATTCATGTCTTAAAATTTACTTAGGTTGATTCAAAATTTCTGCCTAAAAATTTCATTTTAACTTAAGTGTTTAGAGTCAACTTAAGATTGTATTTCGATGTATAAAATGTCAGAGTCCATTAAAAACATACAGCACCGGGTGTGCCGTGATTTAACTTTATAATCGGTGAAATCGGTAAAAATTTATTAACTGAGCCGCTTGTGAACGAAGTCACAAGGCGGTACATTATTGTGAGTCACTGGACCTTCCGTGACAAGGGTCACGGGACATTGTCCATGACGGAAATGTATATCTGAGTAACCTGATGATCAGATCGTTCTTTGT